TATATATGTTGGTGATTTGTTATCATCAATGTTATTTAAGTGTAATGGGATTACTTTGTTGACCAAAAGTGATATTGATAAATATTAAACAAGTAAGGAATGTGTGGAGTACACACTTGTTTAAATTTGATCGAGTATCAAAGTACAGTGTCATTTAAGGGCGAAGCCCCTGAACGAACAGGGGTCCGGGGGCAGCGCCCCTGGGAGCGGGGTCCAAGGGGCAGAGCCATTTTGACTTTTCTTCAAAATACCCGCTTTTATAAAAAATGCATTAAAAATCCGAGTTTTAGAGAACTGACCCATTTTCCCGTTTTTATGACGGTTTTGGTGGTTTTGTGACAGTTTTAAACTGTTATATGACAGTTTTTAGACAAGGATCTAAAAGTTAGTTTTTGGTCTCTTTTTCTGGTACTCACGAAATTATACTCTCATTCCCTTTCTTTCTCTCTGAATTTTCTGAGTCTTATCCAATTGGGGATTTGGGAGTACCACCCAAATACTTCGATTTGATAGTGATAATCACGATTCTCAGATTTCCAAGTGCCATTAAATCCATATTTCTAACAATATATATATATATATATATATATATATATATATATAAGTATAGCAATATCATATGTATGAAAATAGGATATTTTAAGACACGTATGTATGAAATTTGGATGCTTATGCTAAATTTGGATTCCTATATGACATATTATTTGATGTATACATTTAGGACTTGAGAATGGAGCGTTGAGTGCTTGTTGTAGAGGGGGTGGACCATACAACTTCAATTACAAAGCAAGGTGTGGTCACATTGGTTCAAAAGCGTGCAAGGATCCATCTACTTATGCAAATTGGGATGGGGTGCACCTGACTGAGACAGCTTATAGGCATGTAGCTACCGGATTGCTCAATGGAAATTTCACTTCTCCACCTATCTAGTGTTCAATTTCTTCGAAATTCTTCATCCATGTTGTAATAAATAGTTATATTTTGTTATTTGTTAGTGCAAAAAAAGAGTTTATTTGCTCAACAAATTAGTAAATAATTTTATATTTCTGATGGATTTATTGGAAATAAAATGGTTAATTAATATTTAATAAGATATATCTTGTAGTGTGTAGCAATTGATTACATGATTCCATTTTAATAATCATAAACCGAGTCTTGATCTGCCTCTAATTCATTTATAAGGATTGGCATCAAAAAATTGATGCATGAAATCAATAGATTGATCCATATAAGATGTCTTGATTTACTTTTCATGTTAAGGAAGAAATAGACAACCACAACATATTTTTTTTTATTAATTTTTTTGTTTCACACAACAACAATTCAGAACTCTACTTAGGTGGGTGGTGTGTCAGATGTGACCGATCCATATGGTCAGGAAGATTGACTCATCAAACATGACATTTCGGGAGATAATGGTTTTGTGAATGGAAAGCTCAAGAAACCACTAAGGTATATGAAGGGTAGCTTACAAAGACGCACAAAGTGGTGCATGGAAATATATTTTGTAAGGTGGTGAGAAGTGGGTAGCATAAGCAACTGAATACACAAAGATGTGTATAAGCAGGATGATGTTGGAAAATACGAAAGTTTGGGGTTTCGATTTTAATAGAGGTAGATGAAATGATATTTAGGAGATGAGTTGTGGTGTTAAGAGCTTCAACCCATAATTTAGGTGGAAGATGGGAGTGGAACAGAAGAGTGTGTATGGTGTTATTCATGGTGCGAAAAATTCATTCGGACTTACCGTCTTGTTGGGATGAATGAGGGCATTAGAAGTGAAATCGAGTACCTTGGGATGCTAAAAATTCATGAAAGACGGTGTTGTTGTACTCACTACCATTGTCATATTCGAGAGATTTATATATGGTACAACCGAACTGAGTTTTGATCAATGCAGCAAAGTGTAGAGTGATGTGTAATTGATAGTCTATAAAATATACTTGAAAATCATCCCATTTAATAATGGTGTCAGAAGCTTGATGTCATAAAAGATATAGACTTGAAAATACAAATCTAGTTTTACATTTATAACTTCCAACAAACCAAACTGACTACCTACTTCAGGTAGTGTACCTGATCAATGACAATATAGCTTAGGTAAGTAAGGTAACAAACACATGGGGAACAAATATATACTAACATATCAGTATCTTCTTATTAATCAATCTCAAAAGAAAGCAAATAAAGGGGAATAATTGTCATTCAAATAAACTAGCAAATAAATAATCAAATAACCATAACAACCATGGATAACTGCATAGATAACATAATCTGAAGGTAATCATATTTGTATTTAATCCATCCTAGTTCATTTAGTTAATATCCTTTAAATGATATTGGTAACTTATCCATTGATTCCTAAATTGATTAACCTCATGCTAATTCCACTAATCCTATGATTCTAAGAAGTCTACCAATAACGATAACTCCCTAGACTCAGTCTATTCATTCATATTATGTGATGACACAATAGGTATAATTAATCCCATTGTTAGTGGCGACCTCTCAAATTTTCCAAGTTATTGAATCAATCATAAATATTAAATCAGTTTTATTATGGTTAACCTATGGTATCTCATAACTAGTCACCACTGCTTACTCTCTTGACTCAATTTTCCATCTTGGAAAAATTAATAAACAATGTGATTTGAGATACATAATATGAACCTAATCATAAATCATTCACTCAGTTACATAAACATAACAAAATCATTATCAATACTCATGGATCTTTAATTGAGCATAAACATAATAAATTGAATAACTCTCAATATCAAATATCAATCAATCAAAGAAACTATGATATCATAAATAACAAATAACCATAAATGGTTTAATCCTAAATCTTAACAAGAACATATAAGAAATCAAAAAGCTTTCTAATTATAGATAGAAAAGTAAACATATCGATAACCTAATGATTTATTCTCTTGATCTTCAGATTTATGCATCTAGATCGGACTGTCGGTTAATATAGCCTTCTAGACTCTCAAAATGGCCTTCTCTGGATGTTTTCTTGTTATTTTCTTTTTTGATAATGACTACCTCTATGTTGGACGAAAATCACTCTATTTATACCTTTTAAGAACTGACCCAAATCATGGCGCTACAATATATTCGCGGCGCGATTTGCGTATATTAGCAAATATCTTCGAAATCTTCATTAATTCTGGAATTATCCTTAATTAAACTTTTCGTATTCTTCAAGCTACGAATTTTCTTATCGAATATTCCTTTATGTCTTCAGAATCTTCATAATCCTTTCCATTTTTAACTTCAGTTTTATTAGTCTGACTTCAAATCCAATGTTGGACTTGATATATGTCGAACTAGCAAACAACCTCAATACATGAGTTGTAGGAAATTTTGTGTAGTTTCCAGAACATATTTAACTTCGTCCATTGGAGTTACGAGTAGACAGATATGGCCCAATAATTGGAAAGGGGTCCATCAACCCAATTATAATTTAGCAAGTCTATTTCTGTTTTGCTCCAACTCATCAATTTAGCTTCATATTAGCCTATTTTTGTTCTTTTTCATCAACAAAGACCTTTTACCAGCAAATATAAATATAAAGTAACTGAGACCATTTTGTCCTACTTTACTAATAAAAATACCCATAAAATATCTATAAAAACATTTATAAACTAGCATATATCAAAATACCTCATACTTTGATACCCATAAAATATCTATAAAAACATTTATAAACTAGCACATATCAAAATACCTCATACTTTGGCTTTTGCTTGTCCTCAAACAAAATATAGAATAATTTAAGTTAGATTTATATTTTTCATAACATAAGATAACCCTATTCAAAACCCACCAATTTCATTTAGCTTTAATGCACACATACAATTTTTTTTTGAACCAGCAAATATAAATATATAATATACTTCTAAACTACCACCTAATTCCACCTATTGTCGAAGACGCGACTTGAACCCTCAACCTCAAAGAGGAAGGACATCACCTGATACCGTTGGGCTAGAAGCCCTTTGGTAATGCACAAATATGTGTCTAAATCCTAATAGCTTTTCCAGTTTTAAATACTCATAATCTTTATAAATGTTCTCAACTTAGTATGAACAATATGCACTTTTTCATCCCTTCGAATATTCATTTTTAATAAATACATTCAATCTCAAGGTATTTCTGTCATGCTCCCATATTTTTTTACTATCCCGTTTTGATATTTCTTTTTGAGATACCACATTCCATATTTTTTTGGTACATATCTTTCTTAA